AATTTTGTACGAGCTGAGAAACCAAGGCAAACTGATATGACAGCGCTTACATGGCGTATACGCATTCTCTCGTTTACTTATGTCGTTTCCACATTGCGTGTAATTGACATTCACATCGATTACTTCCGAGTTTTTTCCCGACGGCCCTGAATGCCACATGATTTGAACATTATCAGGTACAAGTGAGTGGAAAATGAAAATTAATATTTGAAAATGCATCGCGTCGTGCGTTGAGTCATATTAAGCAGGGCTGGAAGAAAATTGTAGATATATTTTGAAAATCATGTCTTATAAATAATTTAACAGCAAGAATTAAAATAAACTGAAAACTGAAAAGAAAGAAATGTATTTTAATAAGTATGTATTTGAAAATGTGAAAAAAAACTTTGATATAGAATAAAAGTAGGAGAGCAAAATGTATATAGTAAATAATATCTATCATATCTATCGCTAAAGTATAGATTAATATTTGGAAATCAAATTAAACCTATTTTTATATTCATTTTTATAAAAATTTTTCTAAATGTTTTTAAAATTCTTAAATTATATATATAAAAAACAATTAGTGAGGATCTATGTTATATTTATAACCCGATCCCATTGAAAATGAGAAATCAGGGTATAAAAGCTTTGTTTAAATGTATTTAGCAGGCAGCAAGAGTAAAATATATATACTTGATCAGGATGACAAGCCAAGCCGATTGAGGCCGGTTCGGCTGTCTGTCAGTCTGTCCTTCTGTCCATCCATCCGTGTCTATATTTATGTATATATAATACACTAATATTTATAAGAAATCAGCTGAGAAATTTTGTATATATATATATACATATATATCTACATATATATATATGCATATGTATATATATATTTATATATGTATACATATGTACGGCACATATATTCCCGAAAAGAATGACAGACTATGTGTGAATAGCTGCCCGTTCGCTTCAAACAGCTTCAAACTTAATTCAAAGTGAGTGTAAACTCTCACTCAAAAAGGGCTCAGGAGCTCTGCTGCAGTTGCCTTTTGAGTGACTTTTGGGTATAAAAGGGCGCAGCAGCGGCTGTGGACGATCAGTCAAGTTCATGACCTGGACTAGGTCAGTCGTTGTGTGGTTCAGTGCAAATGGTGAATAAATTTAAGTTTTTTGTTATATTGTTTAAGTTTAAATAATTTGTATTTATTTAATAAATTTTGTATTTGTTTAAAAATATATATATTTTTTGTATAATAAATATATATCTAAGTTTTATTTGTTTAACTTTTATTATAATAATGAAGTTTGTCGAAATGTTCATTAGCGAAATAATTATATTTGATGTTCATGATAATAATGGTAATTATCATTAACGATAATGTTCTCTTTAAAATTGTTAGTTAGTTATATAATATTTAAGAGCATTTATTTTATATACCTCTTTGAGATATAGTTAAGTTATTTGTGTGTTTAGTGTTTGTCATAGTCAGAGAATCTCTTCTCAATTTAATAACATAATATTTTTGCACATGTATATATATTTATATTTAAGAAAATATTGAAAAAAAAGAATATATAAATGTTTTATATACAGAATTATATTTAATGTATTAAATGACAAAAATAATAACATTGGCAAATGTTGTTTGCTAAATAATGTATTTATGTATTACAAATTGAATTTATGACGATTTTCTCTTTTTAAAAATAAAAAATGTCTAATGAATAAAAATGTAGTACAAAGTCAGATAAAAATAAAAAAATAATAAATTTGAAACAATTAATATATTAATATTTATACCTATATTTATTATATACGTATATTTGATATATTTTTAAACCAATACTTAATGCACTTCAAGAATTATTTGCGTTGCGTAGGCGATGCTGGTTCGAATCTTGGTATCCTAATGTGAGTTAGTATTTCTCTTTAAATCACAGATAGGACTGAGTTCAGGGTATCTCCTGGGCAGGCACTTCAACCATAACTTGCTTACTTGTTTTATATTTTAATTGATTTATAATTGTAAGAACAATTCATAGGAGATATATAAACTACATTACTAAAACTTGATAACTTTTTAATATGATCTACTTAGCTAATGTCAATTACAATAGAAACGATTGATTACTGCTTGAAAACAAAAGACCTAGACAACAAACTTGTTGCTTGTTGTTTGCCTGCTGCCGTTGCATGCAAAAAAGTGAAAATATCAAATGCAATTGTTGCCTGCCCGCAGTTTACGACTTGCGACGCCTCACCTTGTGCGCAATAGAATTCATTGAAACAATTTTCTTAATTTTTAGTTGCAATCACTAATTAGTTAATTCGAATTGTTGTTAAATGGTTTTTTCCTTGCATTATTCTCAATGCGACATTTGCAATTTTATAATAAGAGTTTTAATGCTTGCGAAAAATAATTAATTGTTTTTTAAAACATTTTTTTTTTTAGAATTTTTCAAGTTTTTAATATATTCTTTTAATCGCTTTTAATTGCTTTTTTGCATATATTTTTATAAGCTTTCGCTGCAGCTACCAATCATTGATTCAAAATTTTATTAATCGTGTGCTTATTTATAATCTTTTTTAATAATTTTTTCTATTTTCTGCCTTTGGCTCTGGGCGCACTTCAGTTTGTGCCTCGCGGCAACTTGAAAAATCGATTAAAACGCTCAAAATCAACAGCTAAAAACAATAACAACAAACAAACTGAAGTTGTGCACACGCTCACCACCACAACAACATCAACAACAATAATAAAAAGATAATAATAATAAAAATCAACTTCAATAGCAAATAGATCGTGCGATTGGCAGAATTGGTTTGGATAGAGATGCCCAGGCGGATGTGCAGTGCGTGTGTTTAAATCTTGATTAGCTCTTTTCGGCATTTAATAATATGGATGGCAGCAACAACAGCAGCAATGGCAACAACAATAGCTATCTGCAAGGCCATCGCTGCGCTGGCTTTTGTAAATATTTACATAGATGCCACCAGAGAGATTGGCAGCATTCAATGCTTGGCTGCGGCATGGTCAAGGTCGAGCTGTGGCAGCTATCAATGTAATATTTCGTGTTTGTTGTCGGTGTTGGATTTCAACAATCTAAAGATGCTCCAAAGACTAACTCAACATTAACACTGAATACTATATAAATACTTAATTAACTTGAGTATTAGGCAAACCGCGTACGAAACTGTTTATCCTGTTCGATCGATCAATGTGAAGCAGTTTGGAAACTTGGAACATTTTCGCTTTAGTTTCGTATGTCTATCTTTCTAGCGTCTTCTTCAAGCAGCAGATATTTAGAATTTGGCGGATTTTTATATAATTATATTTCTGATAATAATTGTTAAGCATTCAGCTCTAATTCCTAGAACTAGATCTTACTCGATCTAGCTTATTTCCTTTCCATCTCTCTTTATAGCGAGATAGCTATATGTCGCTCTCCATCTCTTTCATATCCTCTCTCGACTTTTAGCACTATATATACATATACATATATATAAATATGCATATACATACAGTATATTCTATTCAGCGTTCTACGGCAAACCCATTGATAGCTCTCAAGTAATGCTTAGCAAATACTCTTAAGTACGAAAACAAACACAAACTTTCTCAAGAGCCAAACAAATTCGAATCATTTGCTTATTTGTTTAATCATCTGAGCAATTGTTGGTTTGTTCGCTTGTTTGTGCTTGCATTTGCTTTTCAATTAAATGTTTAACATGAGCAGCTGCTTCTAACCTTTAGCAGGTTTCAAGTTGAAGTTTATTGACCCTAGCCCAAAGGTGCAAACCTCAAAGCCTTCAACTGGCGGCGGATCTACAAAGATCGCCAAGATTCAGTTTCAATTTTTGTTCGCTGGTAATTGCCTCTCTATTCATTCCCGTTGTTGTTGTTGTAAATAAATTAGCCAAAAAGTTCAAATGGTCAACTGGCCAAAAAATAAATAAATTATTGGTAAGGTCGACCCAAGCAGCCGACCAACCGAGCAGCCGTTGAATGTCTAATGGCTTTCGAAGCAAAGCCCCGCACCGAAATGGCAAAGCAAATTCATTTACATGCACCAAACAATATGCCGTATTATTATTACTATTATTATTTGTAGAGGTGGGCCATATCATAATGGATTACCATAAATATGGCTACGAGTGTTCTTTGCATGCAGAACCGGGCATTAGAGCTCTTTGCTTGCCAATTAGCGAATGTGGCCAGTGAGCTGCTGCTGCTTGCTGGAGGGCACTTGGGCATTGGGTATTGGGTATTCAAGCGTGCAGTCCGAACTGAAGGCCAGTGGAGGGGCCGGGCAGACTCGATTATTAATAAAAACAGAGCAATTTAATTGGAACATCATTGAAGCCAACAAAGTTGAAAAACTAAAACTTTTGCCATGCCGGAGGTCAATTCCACCAGCTGTCAGTTGCAATTATTTATCTAGAAATCGATGTGCATACTTTTTGTTTCATATTATTAGCAGACGATCTACCAACAACAACAATAACAGCAACAACAACAACAGCAGCAAATATAATTGTTGGCAACTGCTTGCAAAGTTCAGGGTTAAACATGGGCTAAACACCTGCATTTGGCATGCACCCGCATTCACTAATTGCATACAAGTAAGCAATAGCATACATCTCATTAACGAAAATAAATGGAAAGAAATACTTTAAATATAAATATGTAAATATGAACATAAAAATATTTCAAATGCTGTTTAACAGTTCGTGCGAAATTAACAGTGAGTTAGCAGTGGTTGGCAACGCGAGACAAAAAATTGTCAGTGGCCAGCTGATACAAGGCTTAACGTTATTATAAAAATTAAGGGAATTTTTGCTATTATGTCTATTAAATATATATATATATTTTTATTTATGTTTTATGGGCATGTGTATAAGTCATTCTTCAGAATTCTATTTAATTTTAAAGATCTGTTAACATCGTGCTTGTACTAAAGTTGGCAGCGCTGTATATTCTAAGAAACTGTTATATCGATAGACCAACTATCGATGTAATTAACAGCTGAGCTGCATTAACTGCAAACGCAAACAAAATAATTGAAAATCAGAAAATTTGGCTATATCACATTATTTACAAACATGGAAATACCGGATACATATTACAGCAAAGATGAATATGTAGAAACGGTGAATACTATTATGCCATATATTTAAATTTTAATTTATATTTAAAATTTAATTAAATACTTTCTTTTGATGACCTCATCTCAGGCATCAGGTAACAAGGTGAGCCGCCATACGGTGCTCTGTGGCTCCCAGAATATTGTGCTCAATGGCAAGGTGATTGTACAAAGCGGCGCCATAATACGTGGCGATCTAGCCAATGTGCGAACTGGACGTTATTGTGTGATAAGCAAGAACTCTGTGATACGACCGCCCTACAAACAATTTAGCAAAGGCATCGCCTTCTTTCCGATGCACATAGGAGATCATGTCTACATAGGCGACGGCGCTGTCGTATCAGCGGCTAACGTTGGTTCTTTTGTGTACATTGGCAAAGATGCCATCATTGTGAGTCAGCCTATCAACGTCTGATTTACCGTATTTATATTGGATACGTTTTGATTATAGGGTCGTCGCTGTACGCTCAAGGATTGCTGTGTGATCGAAGATGGAGCTGTGCTGCCACCAGAGACAACCGTATCTAGTTATATGCGCTACACCGCCAAAGGGACCATTGAAGGCGGCCAAGGTAATCCGTATTTTGTGCCCGCTGCCATGCAAGATGAAATGGTCAACTATACAAAATCATTCTATGAGCATTTTGTGCGCACACCAGCACCAGCCAGCTAAACAAACAACTCCTAATTTATAAACTAACATTAAGTATTATATTTAATAAATATGTAAATGACATTTCAGTCAATCAATCCTGTGTTGCAATCGTAGGCCTCTTCGGCAATTTCAAAGATGAAATAGCTCATGCCCGTACGACGTGCTATAATAGCTGCTGTTTCTTCTGTATTGTTCTCCTTGCGCGGCTGTATATTGCGATCCATGAGCAGCACAGTTGCCGTATTCCTGCAATTCGAAACGGTGGCTGTTACATGCAACGGCGTTTGCTGTCCATCCGATTCGGCATTCACATCAGCGCCGAATTGCAACAGCAGCTGTACACTATCAGCATGACTCCATTTGCAGGCTGAGTGTAATGGGGTCCAGCCCAGCTCGGTGCGGGCATTAGGGTTAGCCTGATACTGGAGCAAGAGTCTTGCAATATCTAAGAAGTTGTTGTAGCAGGCACGATGCAGCGGTGTGTATCCATCATTGTCCTTTGCGTTGACGGTGTCTGCATCCAGTTGTAGTATTTCGCGCACCTCACTAATACGATTCTCGCTCACAGCCCACAATATCATGCGTTCAATGCTGGCTGATCATTGCATTTAGTTAGTTTTATTTAAACAAAATTCAGCTTAATTTTTTACCTTGTGGATTTTTGTCCTCCTCGATAAGTTCATCGGTATCATCATCCCAACCGCTTACAAACATGCCACGCGGCACTTTGGCGTAGCGCAGCTTCTCCACTTGTGATTTTTCATCATCAGAATCATAATCGCCCATATTGTTGTTTCAAAATTCTGGTTTGTTGACTTAGCAATAAATAAATGTTGCCTTTTAAACATATGTTTCGCTGTCGATAATTTTTCGATAATATGACACTATCGATAAGCATGTGCGTGTATGTCACTCATTTTACAACACTGTCAATGCTACAAGCAAGAAGCAGCAGCATCGTTGTTATTTATTTTTCGTTCATAGCGGTTTTGTTTACATTTTTTACGTGCACGCAATGTCAAATCCACAGGAGGAGCTTTTGCCGCCCAATGCTGAAGACGATGAGCTAACATTGCCAAGGGCCAGCATTAATAAAATAATCAAAGAGCTGGTGCCCACAGTACGCGTTGCAAACGAAAGTCGCGAACTGATTCTCAATTGCTGCTCCGAATTCATACACCTGATCAGCTCAGAGGCAAATGATGTGTGTAATCAGCGGAGCAAGAAAACTATCAATGCTGAACATGTGCTCGAGGCACTCGATCGCCTAGGCTTTCGCGACTACAAACAGGAGGCCGAGGCTGTGCTACACGATTGCAAAGAGGTGGCCGCCAAGCGACGTAGACAGAGCACACGCTTAGAGAATTTGGGCATACCAGAGGAGGAGCTCCTGCGCCAACAACAGGAGCTGTTCGCCAAGGCGCGTGAGGAGCAGGCACGCGAAGAGCAACAACAATGGATGAGCATGCAGGCAGCTGCTGTACAACAGAGCAATGCGCTAATCCAGCGACCCGCGCAATTGGATAAGGATGCAAGTGGAGGTGGAGGCGGAAATGGCAGCTTTGTGAGCAAACCCAGTGAGGACGACGATGATGATGACGACGATGACTACTAAACGAACGAGTTTATTTGCTTTGCGCTTAATGTAATTTTTAATAATTGTAATTAAACTATTGTCATAAGTCAAATCCCCGCTATTGTTGCCTGCTTCTCCAGCTGTTTTGCTAGCTGCTTTTCAAGCTGTCCATTTAAACTGTTTAGAACATGTTTGCCTGGCACATATTTGCCTAGAATCTCGGTATGCTGCTTCCAGAACTCATTGCCAATTAAATCCTCATGTATGGGCACTATTGCCTGCCTGCCCTTGTCCTGCTCGTCCTGCGTGGGCAGCACCACACGCTTGCGCAACAATATCGTGCCCTTTCTATACATCGCAGGCAAAGTGTTGTAATTGATGCCAAACTCCTGGAAGAGCAACTCATTTTTATCGGCAGAGAATGTGCCGCGTAACCGCTCCTCGGCCTGTTGATTAGTTAGACCCGACTCTAATACAAGCTTCCAAAACGCAGTATTATACAGATTGTTCACATGAACATCCGCTTGTCGCCAGCTCAAATAATCGCGCAGATTCTCATCCGAGGGATAGAGCACAACACGGCCATCAAAGCAGGGCGCATAGTTCAGAGGTTGCTGCATCCATTGCGACCAACTCAGCACATAGCTGCTGGTAAACATGCTCGTCACATAGCTAAGCAGCTTGGCAGCGCGTCGCTTAAATGCTGACGTATCCTTGCGAAAGACGAATGAATACTCATCGCTCTGGCCATAGCCGAGAACAATATCCCGAAACTCCTCCATAACAGCAATGCCAGCCGCATTCATCACATTCAACGCTGCATACAACATGTTTAATTAGTTATTTTATTTAGTTCTAATTATTTATACAATCCTCACCATTTTCGTCGTTGGGCTTTTCAAATTTGTGCGCGTTGGCGAATTTGTGAAATTTTTTGCCATCGATGCGTATCACAATCCAAACATTTGGTAATATTTTATCATCTTGTTCGTACGATTTAACATATTCGTATCTACTGCAGGCCATGCTGCGGGTGTGGAGCGCTGTAGCGCTTTTATTTATAAACAAAAACTTGTTAGCAATACGGTGGAGCGCACGGAACTGCATTAAAAACAATATTTTGGTTTTTTTACCGCATGTTAAACAACGATATTTAAAATATACGAGGTAACGCAGGATGAAGTAAAAGTTTTTTATGTTACTGACGTCACAACTACATGATTTACGCATACAGTGTATATTAGATAGCATGATCATAATATATGCTATGGTTATTATGTTATAAATATACCGAGAGCATTATCTATATATGTATACAAATTTATCATTTAATAACGCGGTCATGTACTTGGCAACTTTTTAGCTACAATAAATTGACAACCTTTTTTGTTTTACACACTTTTGACAACATATTTCAATTTGTCGCACCGCTACCTATCGATAAGTAGCCTTAATGTTTGAACAGCTGTTGATAAATATCGCAGCCAAACTTTCCATTACTAAGCGGCGGCTATATTTATTTGCATTCGGCGTGCTAATCTTAAAATGAGTATAAATTATGAACAGAGTACAACAGATGAACAATTTGCGTCAACCAAATTGTCAGACGATGAGGACAGCGAAGATACCAATGGAAAAACTAGTGCAATAGCAATAGAGCACTCAGCAGCTAACCGAAGGCGATTGGAGAAAGATGAAGCAGATGTTGGGACTGATCCAGACGTCGAGGCCGATGCCGAGGCTGACGCTGATGCTGATGGTGAGGCAAGTGGAGCAGCAAACACACATGTTGTGGCACATCATTATAACGAGTTAAAGGAAGCCGGACTCAAGGAGCGAAACAAGTCGAAAATCTTTTTTATGCGGAACTTCAACAATTGGATCAAGAGTCAGTTAATTAATGAATATATGGCCTTAATCAAGCATCAAAAACGGGTTGGCGATGCTCTACGCGTGCTGGACATGTGCTGCGGCAAGGGCGGCGATCTACTCAAATGGGACAAGGCATTCATATCCCATCTAATATGCACAGACATCGCGGAGGTATCTGTGGAGCAATGTCAACGTCGCTATCAGGACATTTTGCAGCGAGCAGAAAAATCAAAATTCGGACATAAATTCACAGCTGAATTCTTTGCCTGCGACTCGACAATGGTTCGGCTAAGGGAACGGTATAAGGATGCATCGCTGCAACTGAATTTGGTCTCGTGCCAGTTTGCCTTTCACTATTGCTTCGAGTCGCTACAGCAGGCAGATTGCATGATCCGTAATGCAGCCGAGTGCCTGCAGCCAGGTGGTTATTTTATAGCCACCATACCTGATGCCTACGAGATTATTAGGAGATTAAAAGCAGCTGGACCGAACGCTCGCAGCTTCGGCAACGATGTCTATAACATTGAATTTGAATGCGATACGGAGACGTTGCCGCTATTCGGTGCCAAATATCAATTTCATCTGGAAGGCGTTGTTGATTGCCCCGAGTTCTTAGTACATTTCCCTACGCTCATTAAACTAGGTCGCCGTCACGGATTGCAGCTGGTTAGACGCAGCACCTTCGCCGACTATTTCAAGGAGACACTGCCCCAGGGCCGACAGCTGCTACAGCGCATGTCTGGCCTGGAATCAATACAAGCTCATCGCTACAGCACCGGCGAACAATTCGAACATGTGCGTCGCCTACTAGGCACACAGCGAGGCAGACCCCTGGGTACGCTCTCCAAAAACGAATGGGAAGCAACAAGTGAGCATCTAATCTATATATCTATATACTATATATCTCATTTGTATCTCTCTCCCATTTAGCGCTTTATCTGGTCTGTGCCTTCAAGAAGTGCAAAAATAGCTGGGATAGCAATGGCAAACCCTTGTTCGAGTTTGACGACTAAATTGTGTTCCATAAGTCGCACGCAAATTTAACTATATCTCTAATCACGTCAATGTTCTTAGAAGTTTTCTTGTGCATTTTGAAAATCTTATTTACAACACAAACTCAGCATGATCAGAGCATATATTTTAAGTTTAAAAGTGTATTTCGAAGCTTTTAACATTAATTTAAAAATATTACAACTGAAAGAAAAAAAAAAACAAATCGATGGCGAAGAGGATCAATACAATTTTTTCAGGGAAACTGATTTGTTTAAAAGAGATAATGTTTTTGAATCTATGTATAATAGACATAAAAGAGTAGCGATTTCTATATAGCTAGAAATTGATCTAATAATAATAAATATAATATTTGCTGCCTGTAGTTAAGATATTTTGAAAAGAAGCAAGGGTTTTGTCATACAAATATTATATTTATATATTTTAATATATATGACAATTATATGATATATAATAACTTAATCCGTTTATATATATATATATATATATATATATACAAAATCTAATAAGTTTTCCCAACACAAACTTTCAATAGACTTCTACGTAACAGTAAAGACTAGTTGAAAACACTTTGAAATTCTTAAAGTACATAGATAAATACAGTTATATAGAAATATATATGTGATATGCTTTACAGAGCGGTTATAAAAACCGAAATGGAAGTTCTTAAAGTGCCAGAAAATATAACTTCCCATAGCATTGCCAAGAATTAGTAGAATCTTCGCAACTCAAAATTTATTTTACGTATATTAGTATTAAAATTAAATGACCAACTCATATATTAGTATATCACATATATATACAGATTTAAGACAATATGTTTTTAGCTTCTGTTAATTAATATTCAAAAACAAAAACAAATTTTAGGAGATCTTGATTTATGTTAACATTTTATGGTATAATCAACGGAATATTTAAATAAAATTCCTTAGCTAAAAAATGTCAAAATTAAAAATAGCCAACTTATAATACAGCCCTCGTCACTTAGACAATACCTGCGCGATTCTCTCTACATTTAAGAAGCTTTGATAACGAAGCTTTTTCCAACCTACGAATTCGAAACTGGAAGTACGCTTGGTTCTTGCCGAAAAGCACAATGGAAAGCACAGGGAATATGTATTGAGAGAAAGAGAGAGAGGCGAGAAAGAGAGAGCCCGCGCGAGAGAGTGAGAGTAAAGAGAACGCGCACAGCTGTTGCTTTCACAGCGACGGCGCCATTGAAGGACAACGGGCAAAGGTTAGTCCTGACGTTTACGTTGCCGGGTCATGCCCGAGACCGATTACCAAGCGTGTGTGTGCTTGTGCTTGTGCGTGTGCGTGCGTATGGGTGCGAGCCTGTGCCTGGCATTCAATGCATCAATGAATTATTATAGCTCAAGTGTAAATAAATATTTGATAACGCAAACGAGAAGGTACGAAACGAAGTTTGGGATAAATAACGGCATAAATTACGCCCATTGATTGGCTGATGAAGGCAACAATAACAGATAAACGTTTGCTCCCATATATGTGTGTTTGTGCGAGTGTGCATGAGACGACTAAGATCTCAAGCACACGCATGGACACACACATACAGAGTCGCACTGCTTACGCTCTTGTACAGTTCATTTTTTTTGCACTCTCCCTCTACAACTCTGTCTCTCTCTCTCTCTCTCTCTCTCAATCTTGCTCTCATCTCTCTTTGTGTAATGCTTTGCCCATCTTCAAGTTCTTGTCAGATAATTTCATTATTTAAAGTTTTGCTCATAAAAATAAACTTTGGGCGTAAAGTTTAAATTTGTTTTGCACACACATGCAGCCACACACACACACATGCATACATATACATGCATGTTGTTTACAACAGAGTAACATGTATGTGTGTGAGCGTCCGCTTCGCTTTGTTTAAAGTAGAACGTGCGTATTTAGAAGGCAAACAACAAAACTGTTTACACACACAGCGGGGACTCGGGCGACTCGTGGCACAATATTGCCTTCCCTCTCTGCCCTTCCCCTTTGCTTTCTCTTACCCTTTAGCACCTGCTACCCCTCGGCCTGACGCGCTTTGCACTGATTGGCCCTAATGAATCTTTTTGTTACCTCCTCGTGCAGCCGCCTGCGCATTGTTCCATGCGGTCTATGCAAATTAGTTCACTTTTAACCCATCAAAACGCTCAGGGCTTTCAGTTGAACATGTGTTTACCTGAATTCATCTACTGCCAAATAGTTGATAATAAAAGTTTCTAGAATTTCATTAAATATGTAAACGAAAATATAAAGAAGTTGAATTAGAGTCAAGTTGGCTCTAAAGAGTGAAGGCAATAACTAAAGCGCTGCTCGAGGAGAAGACTTTGAAAATTGAATTTAAAATTAGTTAACAATTTGCAAATATATATTTAAATATAAAATAAGTTTGTAATATATAAAAATTTATAAAAAAAAAAATTGAAAACTTTAAAAATCTAATTTAAAATGAATTCTTAAGTTATATAAGAATTTTAAGCAAATTAAATCTATTTTTCTTTTAAATTTTAATTCGTTTTTAAGAATTTCATTTAAGAATGGAATAATACATTTATGGAAAAAAAGATTTTTCAAATATAAAATTTAAATGATAATGAAATAACAACTTTGCTAAGACTCAAAATTCTTTTAAATTCAGCAAATTATTTGAAGTTACAAAAATATTCTTAAATTTACACTTTTTTATTTAAATTTTAAAAATTACTTAAGAGCACAAATTTGACGTTTAAAGTTCTTTAATTTCTTAATTCTTATATTTACTTATGGTATTTAACAAAATTACAAATTTTCCGAGAGTTTTATCGTTTCAAAAAACTTAAGTATTACGAAAATTGTTTTTATATCATCAAATTTTTATATATATATATTTAATATATATTTTATTTTTAATTTAAATTTTATTTGAATATTCAACATTTTTGAAACTTCCTGCGCATGTATATTATATATTCGATGAAAACTATATTTTTACTAGAAAAAATCAGATTCCGCAAAATTCTTGTATTTTACATTCAAAATTCCCTTTTTGGTTAAATCCAGCGGGAAAATTCACATTCAAAATTCTCGTTAATGTCAGGAGAAAACTTATTTCGAATGTGAGTTGTAAATAATAAATGAATATTTAGATATTTGTTCCTTGTTTTTCTTGCTCTAAACAACTAAATTTACATAGTTTTCCTGGAATCAACATTAAATACGTTCAATCTATGGCCTGGCACTGGAACTGAGATATGGGTTAAATCATTTCGCCACAATGGTTTGCCGGGCTGCTGAGCTCTGCTGCAGTGTGTATACGTGATGTGTGCGCAAGTGTGTGTGTGGGTATCTTTTGTGTGTCGTTGGCCACTGACAGTCAGCCAGGTGGGTAGGCAAAATGAGTGGCCTTACATTACGTATACGCAGTGTGTACAAACAAAATACATACCGCAATGTTTATTTTGTAAGCCTGTCGAGGCAAGCGAGCGAATAAGTGTCTGTGTGTCAATGTGTGTGTGTGTATGTGCAGCTCATAAAATGCATAAGTGTATATGTGCGTGTGTGTGTGTGTGTGTGTGTGCGTTCGTAACGGCTTGTGTTTATTCAACCGCATGGAACAATGTGAAAAACGCATGCCAGGCATTTGCCTTTGTTGTAAGCAACAACCCATCCCCCGCCCCTCACCAGTGCTAGGCCCCTCTGTGCCGCTTCTTGGACGCCTCTTTCGCCTCTTGCGCGCTATGCTAAACTTTCACAAGGATTGCCCCCAGGGTGAGGCTCAAGGGGCCACTGCTTAGGATGAGGCGTGCAACAATTTAAAAAGATGTGAATGTGTGTCACAGTGTGTGTGCGTGTGTGTGTGTGTGTGTGTGTGTATGCACACAAAGCAAGACTAGAAGTATGAGCCGATCCGGGCTGAGCGCATGTTAATCTTTTGTGGTTCCTGTCCAAAAAAGCAAACTTGAACTTTGCCACCAATGAATGAATGATTCATTCCATTCATGATTGATATGAATAATAAAAGGAGACATTCACAAAAGAAGAAGAAGAAGAAGCAATACCAGCAGCAGAACGAAAAATACAACAAAAGTTTCACAAAGTTTTAAGAAAACAATCAGTTATCTGAGTGGCTTATGATGTCTTAAGTCAAGCCAAATGCTTTTATATATTATATAGTTAGATTAACTTCCATTCCAAACTCAACTTTGGATACCTTGAAATTGGTTCCCTTGGAAAAATGCTTAAAGTTTTCTTCTGTTTTGGCAAAAATGCCAAAAAAATTAAATTCAATTAGAAAATTTTTTTATAAAATTATAAGTACAAAACAGGCATTTAAATTTAAAAATATTTTTAATTTTTTATTTTATAAGTTTTATTTTATAATATAAAAAATGTAATAAAAACATTTTTCAAATTTTGAAGTTGTCTTAACTTCTAAAAAGTCATATACAAAAATAAATTATTTAATTAATGAATAATTTATTTATTTGCTTAATTAATGAATTAACTAATTCATTTAGATATTTATATATTTTTTATTTTTATATATGGCTAATTAGAAGCTAAAACTTCAAAAATTCATAAATAAACATTTTTAAATTAATGTATTCATAAACATATATAAATAACTTATTAAGTAATCAATAAAACAAAATAATTATTAGTTGCTTAATTCAATTTCAAAATGTATATGAAATATTTTAAAATAATAATATAATTATTAGTAAAAAATATGACAATAATTATCAATATGTCAGTATCTATATTAAGGCTCGTTTACGTAGTTTTCTTTCTTTCCCTTTGTATGAGCACCAGCCAATTGACTTGACATTTGCAAAATATTTAGTGTATATAGCTATGCCTATTGAGGGCGTGGCAAATCAATAAATTTTTATTTTCTAAAGTTTGAGCGCTGCAAACTTAAATTTAGCCAATTTCAATTCAATTGTCAAATTATGGAGCCCTAGCTCCGAAACTTTTCTAGTTATAGCCTCTTCCCAATTGCCACGCCCACAATGGCAATTGGTATATCTTTTAATATTTATCTATATATATTTGGACGGTATTTGTCTACGCTATATGCCAAGTTTTTTTTAGTCTACAGCTAGTATTTGCCAATTAGCCTCGCCCACAGTGGGCGTATCTAAAAAGCTGAACAATTT